AGAAACTGCCCGACACTGCCTAGACCGCTTTCTTATATAAGCATCTGCCCAACATTCTCGTTTTCATGCTTGCAATGCCAGAAGCAAATATGAGGTCACATTCTTCTGCATTCAGTGGCCTGGAGCAACTCCATATCTACTATGCACCTGGATTCCTTTGACAATCTAGTCTGAAATCTGATATCTATTCCGGGAAAATATCTCACTTGGACCAAGTAAAGTTTACGAAACAACGTCATCCCGCAATTCGAAAATGACAGACATTTCAAGGTTAAAGAGAAAACAGCAGTGACAGTATTAAATGATTATATTTTTGATATTCAGACAAAAGTTTAATGTTAAGAAATGTATAGAAAAAATGTGTCGGTTTAAACTGTGATATAACTAAAATGTGAAAACTACAGATGAGACAGTGTATAATTTAAGGAATCTTGGGAAATTTTTTAAAGAGGACAGAAAATGTAATACTGAAACCCGAGCTCGCAATGAAATAGCAAAAAATCCATTCCAATACAGCGATTCTTATTCCAGTAGGTGCTCCACTTGCAGAAATTGCACAACTTCTCTTCATTCCCAGTCGTCAAATGGTGAAGCAATTGATACCACCACCTGAATCTGATTCTGCAAGCTTGGGGAAAATTTTTCTTGGTTAGTTGATTTTGTTTAGCAACATATCAACCTCTATGGGTCTATGCTTCTATGCCGAAATCGAAATATTTTGAACGCAATTTCATGCCTTCAACGACATATATTTTGTACATAATTTTATACTTTCAGGATAAGCATACGTTTTTCTTTAGATATATATATTTTGTAGATGATAAAAACTATTTTATAAGCATTTCACCCAAAGCAAGGCAGGAGTGCCACGAGTACGCAAGGGTTTACAGAGAGTGAAGATAAGAGAAAAGATTGGGTATATGGGGGGGATTGGTGAAAAGCTAAAAAGAAGAATGGGGATCAAGGCATCAGAAGATGTCGATTGACATTACATTTAAATTTTTGAAGATTATAGATATCAGGTAAGCAAGTAAGAGGAAGAGAATTCCACTACAGGGAAGTGCGAAAGAAGAAGCTATTGTAGTAAAAGAGGTGGTTACATTTAACTGTTTCGATAGCAAAAGGGTGGTGCCGAGATGCCAACCTAGTAGCACGCTTAAATTCATGCAGTCGGGGCACCAGAGAAAATAGCTCGTTAGAGCAGATACAATGAAAATATTTGTAGAAAAGATAAAGGGAAGCCACATCACATCTGTAACAAATTGACTGGAGTCGAGATCCTAAGTCAGGACCGATCACATTTCATATCCGTTTTTGGATTTTGTTGAGAACCTCGAGATGAACAGCGGAAGCACCAGACCATATATGACAACAGTATTCTATGTATGAACGAATGGTAGATTTGTAGATTTTGGCGCGACACAGAAAACTAAATTCCTTGCGGTAGATGAAGCTATTTATTCAATGTAGTTGTTCCACCTCAGGTCACTGGAAAACATGAGACCAAGAAAGTCTAGTGAGTCGCTTTCGTGAAGTTGAGCATTAGTCATGCTGATAGGAGGCTGGGACATTTCTCTCTGGTGAGTTTTCTTTTGGATGCATTAAAATTCACAAGCCATTTCCTGCTCCAGCCAACCACAGATTAAAGGTTATTTTCGAGATCATCAGCCAGGTTAACTTTGTCAGCAATGCCGGATTTACTATTAAGCCAGGAGTAAATGGTCATTTCATTTGCATAGATGCCTACTTGAGATGTGATGATGTCTGGAAGATCATTGATGAAGATCAAAAACAGTATAGGACCAAGGATAGAGCCTTGGGGGAACACCAGTGATCGTATGAAAGTAACTGGAGGAGGAACCGTTTAGGACAACCTTCATTTCACGCTTTGACAGAAATGATTGGATTAATTCAAATAATCATCCTATAATACCGTATAGCTGAAGGCCGTCTTGCCAAACCCTGTCAAACACCTTCAATATATCTAGAGCAACAGCTCGAGCGTCGCCGTTATTATCAAGAGCTTTGTATACAAATTCAGTTACTGCTGTAAGCTTGTCAGCGTAGACCGAGCAAAGCGGAAGCCATATTGTTTGTCAGAGAGTAGATCGTGGGAGCTAAGATGCTTAAACATTTTGGGATTGAATCCTCGAAGACTTTGCCGAAGAGTGATAGGAGACTGATAGGACGGTAGTTAGATGGGTTAGAAGGGTCTCCATAGTTGTTAAAGACAGGGACGACAGAGGAGGAGTTGTAGGAGACTTAAAAAATATATATTACTGATAATTTCACTACAAAAATGTATTATTGGTAATTTTTAATAAAACTGTATTGTTGGTAATTTTACTATAAAATGTATTTTTATACTATTTTAGTGTTGTATTGATTGTCATTTTCCTATAAAAATGTACTTTTACTAGTAAAATGTATTGTTGGTCATTTAATTATGAAATATATTGTAATTCATTCTACTATAAAATGTCGTGCTGGTAATTTCACTACAAAAATACAGGGTGAAGCTGGTACTTGAGAAAATACAGATTTAAGATTGATACTGCTTCCCACTAACTTCCAATGCTTTTATTTTTCAGAAATCAAGAATGGCAAACCCTATGATAACAAATGAAATGAAAAGGCATGCTGTGATTGTGGCATTAAAAACTGATCATAGCGATTTGGATATTGCACGTTTCCTTAGAGTTGCAAGATCGTTTGTCCACAAGATACGAAAAGAGGTAGAAGATTCTGACAGTTCCCCAATGTCTGTATCAAAACTTAAAAGACATTCTGCATGTTTTGATAAAGTGAGAACGTCCAAATTTATTCAGGAAGTCAAGCAGACAATTAATGAAAACCGAGGTCAATCAATGAGGTCAATTGCCAAAAAGCTGCATGTGTCTGAAAAAAAAAACAATCAGAAGGAATATTCATGAAGTCCTACGTAATGAAGAGAGGTCAATTTATGTCTGAAAAAACAAAAGAAAACCGTTTAAACAGACCCAAAAGTCTTTTAAACAAACTTAAAAATCCTTCAAAAGCTGGTGTGATTTAGTTTTTCTCAGATGAGAAAATTTTTTCTCAAGATCAAAATCTTAACAGAAGAAATGACAGATGGCTTTGTTCAGGTCATTCTGAGCTGCCAAGAGCGATGCGCACAAAATTTCCTTCAAGTCTCATGGCATTGGGTGTTGTTAGCAATGAAGGACATGTTATGCCAACACACTTTTTTCCACAAGGTCTTAGAGTAAAAAAATGCTGCTTATATTGCGGTTCTAGAAACAGTTGTCAAGCCCTGGATTTACAACATATGCAACGGCAGACGTTACATATTGTAGCAAGACTCGGCTCAATCCCACAAGACTCTACGAACACAAGAATGGATGGCTGACCATATATACGACCACATCACACCTAATATTTGGCCTCCTAACTCTCCAGATCTCAATCCACAAGACTATTATATGTGTAGTGTTGTTGAGAAGGCGGTTAATAAACAGCCTCATAACACCAAAACTGCAATAGTTCGAGTAATGTCTTATATAAATAAGGACCAATTAATCAGAGCTTGCAGCCGATTTTGACCTCCTGTAGAGGCAGTTATTGATGCTAGTGGGGGTTTTATTGAATAAAATTAAATAAAAGTTAGCTAAATTTCATGTTTACATGTTTATAATCAAATATAATTATACTCATTTGTTCAGGAAGTTTTTTTTTTTTTACTAATCCATAAAATCTGCCCTCAAATACCAGCCGCACCCTGTATATTTTTGGTAGTTATTTTTTTTTTAAACGTATTTCTGGTATTTTTACTATAAACATGTATTTTTATACCTTCATAGTGTTCCAATTTTTGGGGGTTCACTATACGCCCATAGGTGGGACCCTAACAGGAACCCTTCTTGGAACAACAGCAATTAAGTGGTGGTTCCACGCTCCGAAAATCTTTCTCCTTGCTGCAGGGTGTAGTTTATCGTTATACCCAGGACTAACAGATTTTATAATACACGTGGTTATATAAACAAACGAACCAGGCAGTTGAGGGCAGACTCTCACACATAGTAGACGCAATGTAAGATCCACGTCCCGAACTGAAGCACCGAGACTCGCGCAACAAACTGACTGAGCGTAACTGATGGAAGAAATATTGGAATGAATACAATAACAAGTAATGAAGATTAATTTATCATTTAATCGGTATAAACTTTTCGTGAGACGAGAAAAGAGTACTGAAATGGAATGTAATGCCAACCCTCCTATACAGGTGAGTTCTGTAAAATTTTCTCGCAGATGCAGAGGAGACTTGAAGCAACAGAAATGTGACTCTACAGAAAGATGCAGAGAATACTATGGACGGGGAGCATAGGTAACGAACAAGTGTTAAGGAAAATGAAAACAATAAAAGACACATACTCAAAATAGAGAGAGAGAGAGAGAGAGAGAGAGAGAGAGAGATCTGTATTTTCTGGAACACACAATGAGGAAGTGAGGCTTGGAGAATTTGTCACTCGCAAGATATGTCGAAGTGAAAAAGCACAGAAATCAGCAGAGCACTCACTTGATGTGCTTGTTTTGATTGATTTTTTTCTGTTTTTATGGGTTATCAACGCATTGCAATTATTTAATCCCAGAAAATATTTTTATATTATTAGATTTGTTATTCGACATAAATGGAGATGATAACGTTTTCGTGATACAAGTTTTACTAATTAACCCATACATGTGGGGAAGAACAGGTAGATTCATACCTTTCCTAAGGGTGTTTAGGCGTAAGTGAATATAACGAACCCAACAGGAATTGGATATCGGCTCTCTGATTAGCAATTGCAACGGATTATCAATTACACCACCCGTACATCGAAGTATACCGGTATACTCAAACGGTCAACCATCTAGGCACTGACCTGGTTCGACGTTGCTTAACTTCGGTTATTGTACGGGAGCCGATGTTTCTACGTGATATGGCCGTAAGCCATACCACCAGCAAATCCAAGATTACAGATTCTGTTATTCCCAAGCGATTACCCATCTCGGTACTGGCCAGGATCGAGGTTGCTTAACTTCGGTGGTTGTACGGGAACCGGTGTTTCAATCTGATATGGTCGTAAGGCATACCACCGGCACATCCAGTACTACAGCACTTGGTATTCTCAAGCGTTCACCGATATAGGTACTGGCCAGGCTCAAGGTTGCTTAACTTCGGTGGTCGTAAGGGATCCGGTGTTTCAACATGATATTGTAGTAAGCCATACCACACGCACATTCAAGATTACAGCTCCTTGTATTTCCAAATGGTTACCCATCTAGTTACTGACCAGGCTCGACGTTGCTTGACTTCTGTTCGTTCGAGAACCGGTCTTTCAACGTGATGTGGTTGTAAGCTTGTGGAGCTTGTGTAAATGGATGGTGAAACAGGAATGGGAAGATTGTAAAGTGACAAACGTTGCTAAGAGCAGGGTTAGAGAAACAAGGTTATGGAGAGTCATTATCGCCCACGACCTGACGGGACACGGCACATAGAAGAAGAGGAAGACATTACCGACATTGAATCTCATATGTAAACGTTATGATTTTCTCATTTACTATGTTAATACCGATATGTGAATAGCCGAACTGATATCAAATATAGCTGGGAAATGCATGAATCTATATATTCTCCTCTCACCTATGGGTTAAATAACAGAATAGACTGAGCTCTGTAGCCTTAGGTGGCGACTAGTCTAGCAGTATGAAAACACTTAATTCAAAAGAAGAAGAATGTGTTCTGTCATGCCATCATGCCACAGACACACCCACATCGGCTGCAATATATTTAGTGAACTTATGACATAGATTACTGGGTTCGTGATCGTGGTCATCGTCGTGAATTGGGCAACAAATTTGACTCAGGAATCATTACTTGTGAGTTCTATCTTCATTGGTTCTCCATAATTGTTGTCATGTAACAAACTCGGCTAAGCACATTAAATAATAAAGACGTGGAATGATTTATCAGGAATTGTTATTGTTTTGTTGTGAGTTCAAAGAGACACGTTCGATAGCAGAGTTCGAATTACATTCACTTACGTGCTCATAACCCTGGGAAAGGTATCAGTCCTCTTCTTCTCCCCACAGCTATGGGTAAGTAGCAGGATAGACTGGGTTCTATAACCATTCTAGGTGAAAATAACTCAAAATTGTATGTAGCCCAGGCGTATAAAATACTATACAGTTAAAGAAAGTCGCGTTCTCATTGTTCGATGATCTCGACTACGGTCGACCTAGATGGATGGAGAAGTGAATTCGATTCTCACTTAGGTCTCCATAACTGTATCCTTGCGCCAGACAGAACTATGTTTAATAGGACACTTAGTTGTGAAGAAGATTATTACAGATCCTGAGTGCTATATGCTTATGGCGTTATTGTAAAACAACAGACAATAGAAAATGTGACAGTGAAATCCGAAGGTGAGTTGGAATAGTAAAAGTTGCCTTGCATATTAAGAAACAGAAAAAATTGGAGAAAGATAGAATAACTCTGAACTAGAAAAAAACGGACAGGAAATAAATTGATTCAAGTCCCGACAGGGGAGTGAGAAAAGGTTGGTTTTGGTTTGGTTTCTTTTACGGCATATGAACCTCAATGGGTTATTTAATGCTTTTACTGAAAAAAATTAATTAGCTTTTACTAAAAACGTACTAAAACCTATTTTTACACTTTCATAATGTTTTGATCCCAGATGAGGGGGTCACCTATTTGCCCATAGCTGCGACCCTAACAGTTGCTACCACCCCTAGGTGCACCTGGGAACACCAGCAGTTAAGAGGTGGTTCTATGCTACTCAAAATCTCCTGATCAGAGGCCATGCTGTTGGATGTAGTTTATCGTCTTACTCAGGACGTGGATGTAGTTTATCGTCTTATCCAGGACGCGTTCGACCAGGTGGAAACAAATATATCATCATAAAATAGAAATAAAACTAAACGAACCCTGAGACAAGGTAGTCAAACAGAGTAAGAAAAGGTAAGAAAAAGGTTAAGCTATCAATTAAAAAAATCAAAACAAAAACAACATGTATGTTGGTTCGTAAGACAGGCAGCCGAAGATGCGAGTTAGGATTTGGAGACGTCACAATGAAATAAGTACGGGAATTTATTTATCTGGGAAGTCTTATAAAAGACGATGGAAAATATGACAGGGATATTTGGAGACGCAGTGGAAATACAAGGAAATAAATAAAAGAAATATGGAGAGAGTCATGATCGCCTACGATCAGGAGGGGTAGCATTTCAAAACAGAACTACAATGCCAAATGTTGGTAAAATGTATATTTGAGGAACTCCTGGCAATATAGGGTTAGGGTTGGAGGAAGTCGAAAAAAAATGGACTAATCGCCAAAGAAAAGGATGGTTAATCTCTCAAGAGAGTCAAACCAATTTTCAATTTACGAATCGGCAACGTCAGAATTAAGTCAATGCAGACCGGGATTTACTTAAACTTTATTTATCAAACGGTGTAGAATGTTCTAATTCCCCGTACCATTTATTTAGATATTTCAGTTTTAGTTAATTTATCTTTATTTGTCCACTATTTTGTTCTTTCCGCTGAGGCCAGGGACTGAACTCACAACTCTTTGGATCAATTCACTTTTTTGATCAATCAACCAACTCTTTAATCACAGAGCCATTGATCCAAAAAGTGAATTGATCCAAAGAGTTGTAGGTTCAATCCGTGGCTTCAGCGGAAAGAACAAATAGTGTAAATTGTATTAGTTTGTTCTGAAAATAATGTCCGATTTTAGAAGAAACTTTTATCCATGAATTAATATATTTGAAACTGTGTTTAAATCAACCAAAATTAGGAACTGTAAATATCTCTACATTTCTCTCATCAAATTACAAGGATATTTAGAGATAAAACTAGAAAGCTATTTACATTATTCGGATTATTGTCCTCATCTTTGTCGCCATATTTATTACAATGTTTCGGCCATTGTACGCTCCGGCCTTCTTTAGGTGGTTGGAATGTCGAACTGAACCCTTTATTTCACTCACTGCAGTAGACTGTTTTAGTTCCACGTAACATGTTTTAATGGTTGTCAGTTGTCAGTTAGCTCTTGATAATTACCCTCTCCAAGTTCAACACTGCCTTAACTGGGTATTGAACTCATACTCTTTGGGTCCTGTCACTGGATCTAACTAACGGCCGAAACGTTGTAATAAATATGGTGACAAAGATGAGGACCATAGTCCGAATAATGTAAATAGTGTACATAATACCTCATCTCAGAAATATAGACAGACACTGAAAGGCTGAAACGTTGTGATAAATATGGCGACAAAGATGAAGACAATAGTCCGAATAATGTAAATAGTGTACATAATACCTCATATCAGAAATATAGACAAATACTGAAAGGCCGAAACGTTGTAATAAATATGGCGACAAAGATGAGGACCATAGTCCGAATAATGTAAATCGTGTACATAATACCTCATCTCAGAAATATAGACAGATACTGAAAGGCCGAAACGTTTTAATAAATATGGCGACAAAGATGGGGACCATAGTCCGAATAATGTAAATAGTGTACATAATACCTCATCTCAGAAATATAGACAGACACTGAAAGGCTGAAACGTTGTGACAAATATGGCGACAAAGATGAAGACAATAGTCCGAATAATGTAAATAGTGTACATAATACCTCATATCAGAAATATAGACAGATACTGAAAGGCCGAAACGTTTTAATAAATATGGCGACAAAGATGGGGACCATAGTCCGAATAATGTAAATAGTGTACATAATACCTCATCTCAGAAATATAGGCAGATACTGAAAGGCCGAAACGTTTTAATAAATATGGCGACAAAGATGGGGACCATAGTCCGAATAATGTAAATAGTGTACATAATACCTCATATCAGAAATATAGACAGATACTGAAAGGCCGAAACGTTTTAATAAATATGGCGACAAAGATGGGGACCATAGTCCGAATAATGTAAATAGTGTACATAATACCTCATATCAGAAATATAGACAGATACTGAAAGGCCGAAACGTTGTAATAAATATGGCGACAAAGATGGGGACCATAGTCCGAATAATGTAAATAGTGTACATAATACCTCATATCAGAAATATAGACAGATACTGAAAGGCCGAAACGTCTTAATAAATATGGCGACAAAGATGGGGACCATAGTCCGAATAATGTAAATAGTGTACATAATACCTCATATCAGAAATATAGACAGATACTGAAAGGCCGAAACGTTTTAATAAATATGGCGACAAAGATGGGGATCATAGTCCGAATAATGTAAATAGTGTACATAATACCTCATATCAGAAATATAGACAGATACTGAACGGCCGAAACGTTGTAATAAATATGGCGACAAAGGTGAGGGCAATAGTTCGAATAATGTAAATAGTGTACATAATACCTCATCTCAGAAATATATACAGAAAACTAGAAAGTTTTGAAAACCAAGAAATCTTAGAATGCAGTTTCTGCATCTTCTTTGTAGCGGAATGTCTATTGGCATCAAAAATTGTAAAGATGCTCTAAAAAATGTCAGTCAGTGGGAAAAGATCAGGGGAATATGGTGGATGTAGTAAAGTCTTTTATCCAAAGTCGGTGAGCTTCTGCAGTTTCAGCCTAGCAACATGTAGCCGAGAATTTTCGTAAAACAGAAGTGGACCTCTTTCAATTAACCAGTGTTCGTCGCAATTTGATGAAGGCAAATGTGCTTTTCATTCAGTTTATGGCATTAAACGTCGTGAGTGATCCTTTGGTAAGATTCTGGAAACATGTAATGGCCGACCACCAGAATATCACCACGATCTTCTGATGGTGCGATTTCGATTTTGGAAAGTGTTTGGGTCCGTAATGATCAAGACATTGGTGGGGACGTTTAAGATTGTCATAACAGATCCATTTCTCATCACAAGTCACTATTTGATCAAGAAATAGATCAACATTGAACACGTCGAAAAAAAACTAAAACAAAAAAAGACAAAAAAAAAAAACGTCGAAATCTTTTTACTTTTACTGACTTCATGTGGGACCCATTTATCAAGTTTCTTCACCTTCCCAATTTCCATGAGATGTTTCAAGATTCTTGAAATGCTGAAACACATTACCTGAGACATTTCTTTAACATTTTGGCATGAGTTTTTTCGACTAGTATTTTCAGATGTTTTTCGGATGAGGAGAGTATCTGTCTATATTTTTGAGATGAG